CGGCGTGGCGGCAGAGGACGGGTCGCAATGCCTCTCCCCAGCTCTGAACAGGACGTGGCTACAAGAAACCATTGATCTCCACGTGCAGGGACCTTGAGCTGCATTTGTTGTTCAGTGGTGCTCAGCGAGCGGCAACGCAGCAAAGAGAAGCAGGACTGATCCGCTAATGAGATCTTTGATTTGGGGAGGGTCAGTGCTGCCTGGCTCCAGGGTACAGCCCCAGCAAGGGGGAGAGGCAGCTGGAGCATTAGGGAGGGGAAAAGCTGTCAGGGTAAAGACAGACAGCTGGAAGGGTGAGCGAGGGGCCTGCTTTGCTGCTGCAGCTGGTTGGGACTGAGGGTGACGGGGCCGGCTGGGGTTGCAATGCAGCGCAAGGCCTGGAAGAAGCATCCCCATGATATTCCTGGGTGGGTGAAAGGTACGGGGCTGCCTGGGGCTGGTGGAGGAGCAGCCCCAAGCTCACAGGTATCCTTTCCCAGGACCATGGTAGATGTGCTGATGAGCAAATCAGCAGGGAGGTGCCAGGAGGTGCATGTTACCAGGTGGAACCTGATGAAAGATGTATTGCCCATCTGTCAGGAAATGTACTTTGCTCCATGTGCACTTCCCTAACAACACCTAGAGCTGGGTTGGGATGGGAGGGGGTGAGATCAGTGCCTAGGAAAGGCCTGAGCCTCCCATGGATGGCAGCAGGCTGCAGCCCTGGGTGAAGCGTCCTGTTGAAAGGTGTATTGACCATCTGTCAGGAGATGCACTTTGCTCACATGCACTTCCCTAACAACTCTAGAGCTGAGTTGGGATGCAAGCAGGGTGGGATCAGTGCCTGGGAAAGGCCTGAGCCTCCCATCGATGGCAGCAGGCTGCAGCCTGGGGTGAAGCGTGGAGCTGAGCCCTGCCCAGAGCAGCTTTCTGGGGGTCCAAGACCCTCATCCCCAGCCCTACTCCCTTCTTGCCCTGGGGGGGTGTTACTGCTGTCCATAAAGGGGGTATCTCCATTCCCGTTTCCCTCCATGTATCCAGCTAGGATGGGTGGGGAGTGCTGGTGCTAGGGTTACCCCCTCTGTCCTTGATCCAGAAAGGATCCGGCTCTGGGCTGGGACATGGGGCATTATCAGGATGAAACAAGTGAGGATGAGTTGGCAGGCAGATCTCCTGTGAAACGTGTGTGCGTATGTGTGTGTATACATGTGTATATACGTGTGTGTGTGTGTGTACATGTGTGAAGAAATCACCCCAACCCCCACGTGTCTCAGAGTCCTCTCCTCTTTTCCCCACTTCTGTGAGCACATGTAGCAAGGCGCGCATCTGTTCCCGACGGGGTGTGCCTGTGCATTCATGCAAATATAAGAAAACTATGAAAATTAGCAGCCGGTTGCAGTTGTCTGTGGGGACGTGAGGTGGGTGGGGAAGAAGAAGAGCATCTCTGGTTCTCACTGCCCCATTGTTCAGCCCCAGTGCTTTGCATTCCCAGACAATCCTGCCCTGGGAATAGGGAAGTTCACCTCTTGCCACTTCCCTATTTGGTGATCCCAGAGCTATACATCCTGCCCCAACCAGGAACAGCTCAGTCCTTTGTTTCTCCTGCCTGAGGCTGGAGACCCCCGAGTGATGGGAGCTGCAGCCTGGCTCCCTTGAGACAAGTGGGCCACATGCCTGAGCTGTGTGCGCCAGGTCTCAGCCGGGACTGCTTCGCTTTCCTGCAGGCATTTTTCCTCCAGCCTGCTCTGGTCCAAACAGCCGCTGTCTCCTTGGGGACCGCAGCCCAGGGTGGTGCGGGACCTGCCCTCAGGCACCTGCTGCAGCCTGACAGGCCATGCTGTCGCTGGCAGAGGCCGCGTGCTACTCCGGCAGGGTAATTAGCACACGTCCGGTCAAGCCTGGCTTAGCCAAACTGCTGTCACGCAGGCTTCTGTGTAACTAGGCCATGTCGACCACAGGCAGGAAATGCAAGGGTGACCTGCCCTGCAGCTTGAGAGACAGCAGCCTGCCCTCTGCAGCTGAGCTCTCGTGACAAGGGAGCTGCGGGCCCCTGGGGTGCCGCCCACAGCCCTGTCTGGGGCAGGGGACAAATGGGCGCCATGAATAGGTGCATCTATAAAATGGCCATCATCATGCCTGGCTGTGCGCGGCAAAGAGCTGTGGCCTGCCCTAGTGAGTGTTGGGAAGGCTGCTTTATGGTGGCCGGCCCGAGGGAGAGCTAAAAGGGACAGAAATATGAAGCAGAAGGCGATGGGAGAGGGCTGGGAGTGGCACTGAGATCCCCCAGGGGCTGTGGGCAGACAGCTCTGAGTGCAAAAAGTGCCTGGAAGGGAGAAGCAGCCTGTTCTGTGATGCTTGCAAAGCCCTTGGCTTCTACCTATGTCCCCTCCCCGTGCAGGCTCAGTGGGCGAGGAGACGAGCATGCACTCTCACTTCCCCTTGAGCATTTGCAGCTCCGAGATCTTCGCAGCTAGTGCTTGAAGGCATGGCCTGCAAGAGCCCCCTGGTCCCAGGGATGCTACTAAGACTGATCGGCTGCTGGGCAGGTAAGCTAACACGCAGGCAGGGAGACAGGTGTTTAGTAGTAAACAGGTGGCTTATTCTCAGCGAGGTGGAGCCACTCTTCCCTCTGCTCTTTAGTCCTGCTGCTTCTAGCTCAGGAGCACTGAGCTCCAGGTGGAGAGAAAGGCATGGAGGTGGCTTCTGTCCCTGCCTTGCTGCTGCTCAGTTCTTGGGCAGGTGAGTGGGCAAATGCTGGCTTGTAGCCCACGTCTTCCCAGCTTGAGACAAGGGCAGGAGACAGATCTGGGAAAACAAGGGGAAGGTTTGCAGCCGCCTCTTTGCCCATTTTCCCCCATGTTAGCACCCAGACGACCTATTTAGAGAAATGGAGAAGCTCCTGCCTGGCTTGAAGTGCTGCAAGTCAGACAGGTGGGAGATAGGGAGGGTGCTGGGTGCCAGGTGAATGCTGTTGGGCTGCTATTTTTTGGTATGCTGCTATTTTTTTTATATGCAGCTGCCGGTCATGAGGAATAGCGGCTTTACGTTACCTGCTTGTTCACCAACTGGCTTGTAGAAGATTTTCATAAATTGTAGTTCTAGAAGATTTTCATATTTCTGGGGTTAAAACCGGAAATCCCAGGGTCATAAGAGGAGTTTAAACCTTCTCATCCTTGCTAAACCCAACAAACTCAAGAGCCTGGGAAAACTTTATGGTGGTTGGGGGCTGTCTGGCTGGGTGGACGGAAAGGAGCGAGTCTGTGCCGGTGCTGTGGAGTTGCTCGATTCACTTGCAGGCAAGGTTCTGTGGGTGGATGCGATATCTTTTATTAGACCAACTAAATAGTTGAAAAAAAAGTTCTTTCTTCGATTCCTTTGTGTATTCACTGCATTAAGGAAAGCAGCTCTGCTCAGAGCTGGAGGTGCTTTGCAGCTCTGAATACTCATCCAGCCCCAGGGGGTTAAATCTAAAGGGTCTGAGCAATGCTTCTTCGGTTCTCTGAGTGTTTTTTCGGATTTGTTTTGCTCTTGGTTTTTTCTTGGCTTGTCAGAGGAGAGACAGAGCCGGTTCCCACCCCTGCTTTGTTCTGGATCTGGGAGGGGATGTTACCCCTTATCTCAGTGCAGGGCTAGTGTGTGGGTTCTTGGCATGGAAGCTGTGGGGTTAGGATGGGACCCCAGCTTAGGGGGCAGGACATTTAAGATGCCTGTAATTACTGATTTGATTCGAGCTGAGGGAGAGGCTGAGAACTGCTGGTCTCCATCGTGTCCTGGTGGGTGCTATTCTGTAGTTTAAGTTTAAAACCAAGCCCCTCAAAGCAGCTCTCTTCCTTCTTCCTTTCAAAGTCCCAAGAGGAAATCGCAGCACAAGTCCCAGCTGCCTTGGGAAGCTATCACTTTGCAGCCCGGGGAATCTGCAGAAAACTGTCTTCGTCTCATGCCCGGCGGGTTAGCCCTTGGGTGGAGGGAGCTGTTTCTAGCCAAACGCGGAGGGAATTGGCCCTGGCCTATGGATTCATACTGGGGTGCCCTGAATTTGAGGCCCCACCATGCAGGTCTGGGGGGCAAGAAGAATTTACTTTGTGCTGTTTTGGAGTAAGGGAATGGAGAGGCAGAGCGGCAGGGCTGAGTCCTGTGAATGCTTCTGGATGAAGTCAGGCATGGGACACAAAAAATGAGGATTGTAAGGGACCTTGGGAGGTCACGTCTAGTCCAAGCCCCTGCTCAAAGCAGGACCAGCCCCAACTACATCATCCCAGACAGGGCTTTGTCTACCCAGGTCTTAAACAGCTCCAAGGATGGAGATTGCACCACCTCTCTGGGTTGCTTGCTCCAGTGCTTCACCACCCTCCTCGTGAGAGTATTTTTCCTAATATCCAACCTCCCTTACTGCAACTGGAGCCTATTGCTCCAAGTTTTGTCACCTGCCACCACTGAGAACAGCCCAGCTCAGTAGTTTTCAACCTTTTTTCATTTGTGGATCCCTAAAAACAATCAGATGGAGGTGTGGACCCTTTTGAACTGTAAGCGTGGGTATTCATGTACTTTTGATTGATCATAGTTGTCTTTCGTGGCCCCCTTAGATATAATGTGCATGCCCTCAGGGGTCTGTGGACCAAAAAACCACTAGCCTAGCTTTATCTTCTTTGCAACCACCCTTCAGGTAGTTGAAGGCTGCTATTAAAGCCCCCCTCCGTCTTCTCTTCTGCAGACTTCTGCCAGCTAGACAAGGTGCTGGATACCACTCACACAAGGCTCAGGGCCCCTGGGTGTGGGGTTGGGACCTCTGATGTTTGCCTCTTTTGCAGAAGCAGAGGCTGCCTCTGCAATTCCACCCTCTCCTGGCAGCAGTGCAGCTCCTCATGCTTCCTCCCGGGGCTTGTGGATAAGGGGCCAATGTGGCATTTTGAATAGCGAATAGACATTGCATTGAATAGCATACATTCATTCATCCTTGTTATAACAAAAATCTCCCTCGAGGCTGGCCCAGGTCTCTGCGTTCACCTTCCCCAAAGACCAAGGGGGGGTTCCCAACCTGCCTCCGATCCAGTTGTTGAAATGCAGCTGTGGGTCAGAACTCCCTGTACTGGAGGGGGCCAGGCAAACCGTTCTGGATCAGCCCCATGGCTAAATAAAACCTTAATGCTGCACACACATCAGGCTTAGGATGACAGCCCCAGATCTATTTTAAGGTTAAACTCCACAGATTTGATCCTCTGGTGCCCAGCAGCATGTGCTGTCATTTATCCCCTCCAAAGCGGATCTAAAATGGCACTGTTCTGCTGTTCTGCAACACGTCGCGGCCCCAGGCACAGCTGGAGGGGGCAGGAGAGTCCGTAACACTGATGGCAAGACCTGCCAAGGGAAAGCCCCGGCCTTGAGCCAGCAGGCAGGTAGCTGAGCAGAGGCGGGTGAGGCTGAGAGCTGCAGAGACCATGTTTGAGGATAAATATTGGGACAGGTTTATTATTCTGTAGCAAGTGAGTGCAGACGGAAGCCTTGCCTCTGGCACACCTCTGGGACACCAACCTGTTCCTGGCAGAAGGACACAGGTGGCACTGGAGCTCACCCAGACACCAGGATCAGCACAGGTTGGTGCATCCTGGTTCTCTGTTGTTGGCAAACCAGCATTTCACACCTGCTTGGGCTGGGTTTAAATTATTGCACAAGCTAATACAGAGGCTGAGCATAGCCTGGCCTGGGGTCTGATCGCTGAGCTACCATGAGCGGCTGATAAACCCACACCTCTGCTCCTGCTCTAGATTATTTTCATATAATAGAGACCACTGGGTGCTGCGGTCAGGGTAGAAAGCGGGGTGCAAGCTGGAGCGTGAGGTATAGAGGCAGCTGCCTTTGCACTATACAAGCTGCACAAAGGGGCTTCAGCCAGAGCGAGACTCTGGTGTTGGTGTTTCTCCAAAGGGGTGGTGGGTTTCAGAGAGGAGGGGCGGGGGCGTGTGTGTGTGTGTGGCATGCGTCTCTCAGCCGCCGAAGCCTGCGGCTCCGTGCACCAGGTGCCGGCACATGTGCTGGGCGTGCGCCTGTTATAACCCAGCCTGTGGTTTGCTGGGTTCTGCGCTGGCCTGTGGTTCTGTCATTTCAGCTCGCAGACTTTGCAAACCAAATCGGCCGTGTTGACGGACCCAGAGTGTGTGCAAACAGGCAAGAGAGAAGCAGATAAATCCACCTGGCCGAGCTCAGAGCTGAGAAATAATTAAATGTCATTAAGAAGTCACCCCTTCCCCCACCTTCTGGAGAAGAGCTCTGCATAGTGCAGGAAATCAGCATCTCATTATTTTGGCCACCGGAAGCTTTAATATAAAATTGGCTCTGTGATGTGAAAGCCTGATCTTCCTTTCTCTGTGTAATCGCATCTGCCTGTCCCTTTCAAAGCCCTGGATCTGAGCAATAAGCAGCGGCTGCCGGGGTGGGGGCGGGGAGGGGGATTAGATTAAAATTTAGTAATACCCAACCTTCGTGTTGCCTTCCCCATCCCAAACCTCTTCAAGAAAATTGGAGCCAAAGCCCACGGATCTCACTCGGGTGGAAATGGCACTAGGGATGGGAACTGGGGCTGGGGAAAGGGGTTGGATTGGAGCTGGGTGGGAGGGTTTGGGACACTGGTCCTGCACTGGGACTCAGGAGACGCGGGATAAATTCCTCATGCTGACAGCATGCAGGACACAGGGTGTTTCTGGACTGGCTCTTCCCTGCCTCCCGGCTCTTCATGCTGGGACTAATTGGGTTTTTTTAAATAATAATATATTTATTTCATATGCCCCGTCAAATCAGCCAGATCAGTTCCAAATCATAGACTGAGCAGAACTCAATCTTTCTAAAAACCATATTGATTGAGCTCAATCATGCTAAACACCACGTATGGCGCTACAACCAGCGAGCATCCTCCATCCCAGACCTCTCCCTGGGACTCCCAAATCCACTGGGAGGCATTGACTCTGGGACTTATTCAGCAAGAGCCAGAATAAGACAGAAAAGCAACTGCTTCTGGGCTGGGGCAGGATTGAGGCTTAGCCAGGCACAGCGATGCAGCAGAGCGGGCTCAGGATTGCAGGGAAGAGGGGCCGGGGCCTCGCTGCAACAGCAAGGCTGTGCTGGGTGGGGAGAGTGGAAAAAGTAGGGAGCTGACACGGAGGTGTCCTGGGGTCTTGGTCATCAGTGAGATTCAGGGCAGGGGAACACTTCCCAGCTCTCACGTCATAGGGAGATAAATGGGCTCCATGACACATCTGCCTCCAGGGGCTCTGCCTACGGAGACCGTGGCTCCCTTGTTACCACCATTTCTTCCTTTTTTAATTGTCCTGTTTCTTAAGGTCTCGCGATGACCACTGCACAGCCCACAGCCCGCCGAATGAATCGGGTGCTGGGTGGCTCGGCCTGGCTGTCCGTGTCCCTGCCTCCAGGAGTGTCGGTGAAGTCGACAGAGTGGAGCTTCAACACAGGGTTGGGCCGTACCATCGTGATAGCAGAGTTCATCTCCGGGCGACTGGAGCAGCTGGATCCTGGTGACCAATTCGGGCGGCGCCTAGAGGTGCCCAATGCCACGACACTGGGCATCCGGGAACTGAAGAAGGATGATGGTGGCTTGTACAGTGCCCGCGTGAAACTGCCCCCAGCGACTGTGGAGGACTATCACTTCCACCTCGCCGTCTACGGTATGGGGCTGGGGAGCAATGCTTAGTGCTGGGCCCCTGTGCAGCCCATCCAGCTTCCAAAATGGGTACAGGGGAGGATTGCAGCCCTCCCGTCTGTACCCCAAAGGCCCAGTCTGCCCCTCTAGGACCTAGGCCCAGGGGCAGAGCCGGACGGGGAATCAGAGCAAGCTGCCCTTGGGGATCTTAGGGACGTGTTTGAGGGGGTACAATGCTCTGCTGCGTGGAGCCAGACTCACCTGGGAGAGGCAGCTCTGGCCAAGCAGGGCGGATGATGGCTGGGGAACCCGGGCAGCTCAGAGCCCCCAGTGCCAACACCTCTGTTTGGCTTGTTTCGAACTCAGAGCTGGTGCCAGCACCCGAGATCCAGAGCCAGATTCACCCCAGCACGCTGGGCTGGTGCAACCTCACACTGCACTGCCAGGTGCCCACCACAGCTGCCATGGACATCACCTGGGGCACAGGGGACTCCCTGCAAGATCTGGCGAGGCATCGCGTCTCGGCTGATGGCCAGAGCCTGCACCTGGCTCTGCCCCCAGGCACCTGGAACGACACCTACACCTGCAGCGTCAGCAACCCCGCCGACCGGAAAAGCACCTCTGTGGCCATGCAAAGCCTCTGCCTGAGCAACACCACACGTGAGGCCTGTTCTCCTGGCGGATTCAGAGTCAAGCAGCCGATGGGTGAGGGGAGGGGAACCCAGGAGGCAGCTGGTTCCTGGCTATGTGTGTGTATTTGCACAGCGCACACGGATCCTGTTTCCTTAAAATCCCCATCCCCTTTTAAACCCTGCTGCCAAACCAAGCCCTGGAGGTCAGGACCCACCAAGTAATTCCCCTGCCAGCCTGGGAACTGATTCATACCATTGCAAGCTCCTCAGGGGCACAGACCCAAAGGGGTTTGGGCACTGCAATCTCCTTTGGTTTCAATGGGACTTGGATCCTATACTTCCCATTGAAAGCAATGAGGACAGAGGTGCCGAAATCCCCCGGGGAACATCTGGGCACCATGCTTCATCCCTAAAGCATCTGGCCAGATGTTCCCCTGGTCCCAAATCCTTGTTTGTAGGATCTGCTTGGCACCAAGAGCTATCACAGTCCCCCAGCTCTTGCCAGGCTGTGGTGTGTTGCGCAGGGGTGGGGGGCACATCCTTCCCTGCACCCAACCACTCTGGGAGATGGTGAGCGATGCTGTTTTTTTGGTTGCAGATGCCACCATGTGGACGTGGTTCCTCTGCATTGGGCTGATTGTTGCCGTGGCCGTGTGCTTCGGGGCCTGGCTCTGGAGGAGGAGGAGGAGGAAGGCAGCTGGGAGAGGTGGGTCCCTGCTCTTTGCAGGAGCTCCATCTCAGAGACCTGACCCAGCACTGGAACGGGCCTTGGGAGGGCTGGGTCCTGCTCCCATCTTTGCTGCTGGGTGCCTCTGGGCAAATTCCTGCCTTCTGCCTCAGTTTTCCCATCTGTGAAATGGGATGAGGAGTTGGGGTTTGTTATTCAGTGAAGAGGCCTGTTCACTATACATGATAATCCTGCCCTCTCCTCAGCCCCCATGCGAGACTGTCCCAGTGAGCCCCAGTACGCGGAGATCAAGAGGAGGAGACCACCGGAGGGGGATGAGCAGGTGAGTCTCTGCAGGAGGAGACGTCCTGGTGCTCTCTGCCCATGGGGACTTGTACAGCGCAGGGATCCCCAGACCCACCAGGCCACAGCCTTGACCCTGGCCCCTTGACCCCATACCAGGAGCCTGCAGTTGCCCTCATCGCCCCTTGCCAGCTGGGAGATGTTATCGTGGCTGCCAGCTTCCTTCTCCCGGCTGCTGGGAGACATCCTAGAGAGCCTGGCAGAGCTCTCCCGTGCCACCCTGACAAGGCACTGCTGCCTGGGTCTGACCTCAAGACACCCCGCTTTGCAAGGGAGCGGCATAGTCTTAATTCCCTGTCCTATATTCCTCTGCAGCTGTTATGCAGCTGCCAGGCCCCACCCCAGAGGCAGTTGCATTCAAGGACGGGGCAAAGCTGGCACTTCCATGTCATCTATTTTTTACTTTGGCAAAACCCCTTGGCTTCCCTGGCTCTCTTCAGCCGGCTGGATGCAGGGTGTTTCCCAGGACTGGCAGGTCCGTGGTGATTTTTCCCTGGTCTTGTTCCAGCCGGGAGCACCCTCGGTCATGGACCTCCCTGCTGACCCCCACAGGGGACCTGGCAAGGGCAGCCCCTGCAGCCAGCAGCTGATCCAACAGCTGTTTCCACTTCTGCCTCATCCTTCTCTTGTAGATCCTGAGCTCCCCACCTGACAGCCCTGCTCAGAGCCTCCTAGCGATGACACCGATCACCAGCATCTATGCCCAGGTCCAGCTGAGCACACCTCAGCTCCTCACCTAGGCCAGGTGAGGCTGTGGGGAACACGGGGCTCCGGCTGCGTCTGCAGCACCCATCCAGGCTGCTCCCATCTGGACGGAGCTGGGGCCATGCCTGTCAGCTCTCATGGCAGTCTGGAGGACTGGGAAACCCCCGTCCATCCTGAAGCCCTGACAGGGAAAGGGTTTTCCTGCATGCTCAGACTTCCGGAGGCCTGTGGGAATGGAGCATCCTGTGCTGGCGCTCAGCACCAAGCTCTCTGGAGGGTACCAAACCTGTCCAGCCTGCCGGGAAGTGGGGGACAGAGGGAGCTGTGGCTGGAGGCAAAGGCAGGATCTTGGGGAATGGGGCCTGCAGGTTCTCCCCCCACCTTGGGAAGGGAGTGTGGAAGTGGGAGGCTGGGCTCCTGGGTCCCCTCCCTGGGCGGGTGGGGATGCGTGGCTTCTCTTCCCACTGCTGGGAAAGGCACGAGAGCCAGGATGCCTGGGGTCCCTGCTTATTTCTGGGAAAGGCGCGAGTGTCGGGACGCCCGGGTTCTGGCTCCTGCTCACGCTCCTGTGCTTCTTTTACAGGACTTCCTGGCTCTGAGAGAGGCTTTTCTGTTGAAATCGCTGCTGAAGTGCTTTGAAATTCCTGAGCCAAAGCCACCGCCCTCCCCCCCGTCTCTTGCACGCACGCACACAGGCCTGCACTCACATGCCTGCCTTTGCATATGCGTGCACTCGCACACATGCACACCCTGCCCAGCGTCCTTGTCGCATCTGACACTTCCCCTCTGCTTTGCTCCAAACCAGGCGCCCAGGACAGAGCTGGCTCTGCCTGGCCCAGGGCCTGGATGTGGGTGGCAGCAGCAGCAGCTGGTCTGTTGGCTCCAGAGCTGCAGCCGCCTGGGCCTGCCAGAGCTGGATTTCCAGTAGCTCCTTTGATCCTCTTCCCCATTCAGCTCTTGACTCTGCTTCTCTGGAGATGCCAGTGCCTTCCCCTGGCCCCAGCCTGGGGGCAGCCCCACACCCCCCTGCCAGTAAGGCTGTGTCAGAACAGGGTCCTTGCCAAGTGGGGTCCCCAAAGGCATGACCGGAGGGGGCAGGTCTTGGGATGCAGCCAATGTAGGGTCAGGGGATGGTGGTCAGTGTGCGAGCTGGTGAGTCCTAGGCAGGCTGGGCCAGGGGCTCTGTACTCACCTACCACCTGATGGTGCAGGGCTGGCCAGGCTCTTGGGGCTGCGCATGGAGCTGGCCCTGATCCCTCTTGGCTTGTCCGCTCGATTGCTCCCGTCTGCCAAGCAGGACACGCCAGCCAGGATGCCCTAGGAAGGACTGCCCTGTGGCTCTGCCCAGGCCTGGGAGCAGGCAAGAGATCCCTGGAGTGACCTTTGCCCTTTCACACTGCTAGAGGGTTAGGATGGCATCTGGACCCGACTTCTTGGAGTTGGTGCAGCCACCAGGACCCAGCAGAGCAGCCAGACAGAGAGGATGCTGGCCAGGCCAGGCTCTCCCAGGCAGAGGGGCCAGGAGTGCAACCCCCTCCTCTCCCCCACAGGCAGGAGGGACCTAGCCTGGGGGGAGATCAGGCTGGAGTTGAGCAAGCAGCTCCCCACCATCACAGGCTGTGAAGCCTCTTCCTCAAGGTGTTTCCTTAGGGTTGCACAAGATGCAAGTTCCAGCCCAGGGGACTCTGGAGACGAAAGGGAACCGGCGAGGGTGCGCGCGGCCGCATCTCTTGTGCTACTGAGTAAAGAGCAATGGTGGTTTGGATCCCATGTGAGCTCAGTGTGTTCTTACCCCAGGAAAGGGAACTGGTCCCCCGAGGACCTCTGCTCCTGCCGCTCCTGCCGTGGTGTTTCAGGGGGGAGGGGGTTGAAGTCCCTATGACTGATCTGTTTGGGGGGGTGTTCAGCTCCGTGGTCTCTTCCTGGGTGCATCAGGCCGGTCGAGACACGCTATGCAACTGTCCCTGTGTGCAAACTCATCCTGTTCACTAGCATTAGTTCTCTTGCACGAGCGCTGGTGTGCAAGGTGCTGTAGGAACAAGAGGATCCCTGCCTACCAGCAGCATCCTCCAGTGTCTGGAGTCCACAGAGGAAACCTCAGCCCAGCTCTGAGCATCCTCCCCACCGACCAACCCCGCTGCTCACTTCCTCAGCCAGGTTGCTCTTCCGCAGCCCCCAGCACCTGGAAGGCTGCCCTGCTGACCCCTGGGAGGGGGGGCACCTGCAATTCAGGGCCTCCCCATGTGGTTTGGGACAGCCTGGGCCTGGCATGCAGGAGGAACAAGCTTGGCATCCGCAGACCCTCCCCCCGCCGCAGAGAAGCAGGAACCAGACACGGATTCTGGGTCTGTGCCAGCGAGAAGCCGGCTGGTTCAGGCCTCCCGCACTGTCATCCTGTGTAAACCCCAGGACCTCCCCACAGGCCTCCCCTGAGAGCTGCGACCTCCAGGGAGCAAGAGGTTGGTGCGGCCCCGTGGTTTCCGGGACAGCGCTGTACCCTGATGCAGCCCGGGGGAAGGAGGGGGGCAGGGACGCCCTAGGGGCATCTCTGTGGGGGGGCGGGAGGCAGAGAGGTGTGGGACAGTC